GAGGCTTTGAATCTCCAGACATGGTTTTACATGACTGGCTTATTCTCATTATTCTCAAGCTGATACAGTCCTTAAACTGGTACAGCTCTGGTAGGACTGGGCACCCTTGGTGCCCTGCAGCCCAAGCCCCACACCCAGAAGGATTCATGGAGGTGGGGGCACTGCAGACTGGATGCAGAAGCTGCGCCAGGAGAGGGGATGGACCCTGACAACAGCTCTAGGGACAAAAATAGAAGCAGCAGGCTGAGGACAGCTGTTCCTAGTTTAAATTGCCAGTTTTTAATAAGCTGTTTTGCTCTTTGAAAAGCATTTTTTTATCGTTTCATAAATAGGAGGAGGAGCCAGGGTAGCATCATCAGGACGTCACCTACTTTGTCACTGCTCCTCTCCGGATCCTCAGTTTTCCCTGGGTGCCATCACATTCAGGGTTTTCAGCAGCACAAAGTGACTGCAAGGAAGACTGAAGTCTGCCATTTAGTTTGCCAAGACATCTGGCAAAAACATTATGTACAGCTGAACATTTCATCACGTCTGCCAAGACATATTCATTTTGGATTAATTTTAAGACAGTTTTTAAAGTGATGATGAAGGATTATGGAGTGAGCTTCAGCAGCATTAAAAAAAATTAAAAAAAATCATCTCTTCTCTTTAAATCTCTCATTCAAATTGTCCCAGTTTGGCAGCTCTATGGTGTACTGGATTCGTGATCTGGAGGGATTCATCGATAGTGACATTTTCATTTATCTGAATACTTGTAAGTGCTGTCACAGTCCATGGGTGGTAGCAGAGCCTCCAACACCAAACATGGCTCCTTGGAGTAATTCATTTGCAGACAGGCAGCACAGCCCTAACATCCAAAATGCATCCACTCAGCAATAACCCAGCATCGATGATTGAATGAGTATGAGCTGTAATCTCAGCTGGAACCTTGCAGTTTGGGGTTAACTGCCCTCAAAATGCAAAGCATTTCTACAATGCTGTTACTCCAGAGACATCCCTGGTACTCCCAGTGAAGGGATGCCAAAATCTGTAGTCAGAGACTTGCAGTGGGGGGATGTACTTCATGGGTTGCTGCTTTTGAATAAGCTCATGCAACTCTGCAGCCATTTCCATGGCCCTATCAATTTCTCTGGGCACCCTGTGCCAGGGCCTGCCCACCCTCCCAGCCAGCAATTCCTTGCCAATATCCCAGCTGGGCCTGCCCTCTGGCACTGGAGCCCCTTTAGGCCCTGCCAGGGGCTCTCAGCTCTCCCTGGAGCCTGAATACTTGTGCAGGGGAGCAGCCCCAGCTCTCCCAGGCTGCCTCCAGAGCACAGGGGCTCCAGCCCTGGGATCTTTTAAGTCCCTTCCAACCCACTCTATAATTACTTTAAACTATTATCTCCACTGCCCACAGCACCTCCCTGCCCTGCTCCTGTCGAGGCGCTGTTCCCAAAGTCACAGCACGAAGTACAGTTCTGCTGCTGGGGTCAATGGAGGTTGCAAGAGCTGCCCTTTTCTGTGAAATTCCATTATCTTCAGCTGGCAGAGCTGTTATCAGGCAATGAGCACTGCTGGTGATTTGTGCTGATGTCTCATGCAGGAGGATGGCCTGGAGCACTCCCCTGGTGACATCACATCAGCCCGGGGATGTCTTGCCAACAGGCTCCTTCCCTGAAAGTGAAAATAACAGGGAAACTCCCAGCCTTGTGATCCCTTCCCTGAACACTTCACACACGAGTGTCACGACTGACCTGTGCAAAGGCACCACCAATGAGTAACTCTTCAGAGAGTGTGAAGTCAGCTTTCTGGCCAAGCCTTGAACACATCCCAGCCCCATCCAGCCCAACCCCCACAACCAAACTTGTGGCATTCAGGACATCCCGGCTTGACATGTCATCCTCTGTCCCTACCTTCACCCTACTGAGAGCTCACAGCCACCACGGCTTCTGCCAGGACGTGTCTGTCCAGAGGCTCCAGAATCCAGGGGCTCAGGACGAGGCTGCTGTGCCTTGCTCTCAGACGTGCAGCTGTTACCTTAAACACTGCTACTTGTCGGCAATAGCAGACAATAAATATGGTAATAGTAACTCCCTCAAAGCCCAAAATTAACACTGAATCAAACACAAAAGCAGCTGGGATGCTGGATTTTACAGTATTGCCAGTACCAGTGGTACAAATTTTTAGGTAAGGTGGCCAAAGGGGAAATGGGTGGACATGGGAAAGGATTTGCAGTGGTCAAGTGATTCTAGGAAGGGCAATCATATAGAAAACTCCTGCTCTTCCACACAGAAGGTGGAGTTTTTGCAGACCAAGCCCAATCAATTATGAGAGAGCCTGGGGCTGACTAAATATGAGATTTGACCTTTATTTGGCTGAATTAGACAACATATGCAATGATAAAACCGTAGAAAAGATTGTACAAAATCTTTAGAGCTTCCAAGGAAGGGAGGGGAGTTGTTTGTTTCTTCCTTTCCTGTTTAACTGGTAGATCAGCAATCTAGTGGCATGTACAAAACAGCTTGGGTTGGTTTTTTTTTTCCCATAACTTGCCAATACTCTTTGGTTTTAGGCTATTAGGGTCAAGAAATGCCAAAAAATCTGGCAGATTTTTGGACTGCTTTTGCCAAAGTGAATGATGCCCAATGCATTTATCTCTTTCAACATCTCCCCCACCATTTCACTTTCACAGCAAGATCAGAGTTTCACTCTCTTGCCTGAGGGTGGAGGATTTCTGCCTCACCAGGGACTTGTGCATGAGGCTCAACAACTCCCACTTCGCCAGCTTACACAGCAGCTGAGTTTCCTACCTGTTTGGTCCTCTGGGAGCAGACCTACCTTCTCCCCAGCCCTGAAGCAGTGGATTTCTCTCCAGCTGCTCAGGGAGCCCAGACAGGCGGTGACACCAGTGATCAGCACTCAAGAGCAAGAATATTATAATAAAGTCTCAGAAAGGTGAGGGCTGGAAGGGACCTTAAAGCTCATCCCACTCCACCCCCTGTCATAACAGGGCCACCTTCCAGTGTCCCAGGCTGCTGCAAGCCCTGTCCAGCCTGGCCTTGGACACTGCAGGGATGCAGGGGCAGCCCCAGCTGCTCTGGGCACCCTGTGCCAGGGCCTGCCCACCCTCCCAGCCAGCAATTCCTTGCCAATATCCCAGCTGGGCCTGCCCTCTGGCACTGGCAAGCCATTGCCTGTGTCCTGTCCCTCCATGCCCCTTTCCAAAGTCTCTCTCCAGCTCTCCTGTCAGTACCTTCAGGTACTGGAAGGCCACAGGTAGGCCACCCCAAATACGAGCATGGTCAGGAGAAGGTCCTGGTGCAACACCCATCCCACACCCCAAAACCAGAGAGACCATGAGTTGAAATGGACAGGAATGAGAAGCTGAGGTCTTGTGTGGACAACCCTGTCCCTCCTCTGCTTCCTCCCATGACTCCATGTCCCAGTGCCCCTCCAGGTCATGGCCACTGCGACCATTAAAGCTGAGCTGGCAAGAGGTGACATTCCACGTGACACTGCAGCATGACATGTTCCCTCTTTTACCAGACACTCACTTGGACAGTGATTTACTTTATACAATAAATAAAATTACATTCTTCTTAATTGCACATCATGGAGGACATGATAAAACCTTGATTAGGTTGGGCCTGAGGACCACGCGAAGACCTGTGACATAAACCACACCACCCCATATTTACTGTTTTATCTTTTTTATTTCTGTAATTACGCATAATAAATCTTTCACACAAAGAAATGAAAAGGATCCCTAAGGTGAAGGAAAAACAGAGTATTTGTGACCGTACCAGACTGCAGATGTCAGGATACTGCCAGGCCCACATCACGCTCCAGCTCTTGGGAGAGCCAATGGGGTCAGCATGGATTTCTGCCTAAATCTTGGTCTGGCTCTGCTGTTTTGGCTTTAGGTGGTAACTCCAGCTTTTCCAAACCAGCTGGGACCCGGGAGCAGGGCATTTCATGAAACACACAAGTTAATTATGCCATCAGAACAAACCCTCTGCATTTCAGTGTCACCACAACGGGAGGACAGCGAGAGAGAATTTTCTGTGTGACACCAATGTTGGTTCAGCAGCTATTTGACCTATTCTAGCAGTTTGCTACTTTATGTGTCCCTCTCTTTAAAAAGCCCTTTCACAGACAAATCAGGTTTTCTGCAGTCTGACACCTGTCTCAGCAGTGTCTGCCCTGGCAGGGCCTCTCTGCTTCTGCTCACCCTGGGGTGTTTAAAACAGATGAACACTGAGCCAGCCCAGCAGCTTTAAAATCCACAGTTTAAAAGTGCATCTTCAGACTGACCTTTCCAAATCTGGGCAGCCCTGTTGAATCACAAACACTCTTAGTCTTTTAATAAAGACAAAATTACAAATCACTACAGTAACCAAGAATAGTTATCCCCTTTTGACGTTTGCTCAAAGACCAAAACAAAACAGAATAAATCCAAAATACAGATCAACTTATGTGCAGCTCAGTCATGGTTCATTCATTTCTCCTATTTGCCTATAAAAACACTGCATCTCCAGTCTTACCATTCTATTTTCTCAAAAGCTTCTGCCATTTCAAAGTCCTAAATGCTTGTGGGCTGTATATATTCCTTTGCAGCTACATTTAAATAAATTTGGAAAGCTTTTTTTTTTTTTTTCTTTTTTTTTTTTTTTTTTAATATGCCAGCATCTCCATTTGTGTAGGACTCAAATGGACTTCTGTCTCTAAATAAGCAGATAAAAAGTACAATCTTAGCATATCCTTCAGAGGGATGAAATGGTGCAAGAAATTCTATTTAAAGCCATTCAAAGGACTTTCTGAAAGCAAACGCACCCGATTCCTCAGGTCAACAAACAGAACATGCTGGAGCAGGCAGTGAGTACAGAGGGTTGCCACGCATCTTCAGGAACCAATTCCTCAAAATGGAAGTTTTGGCATGCAATGTACTGGTGACAGTCCCCCACACAGCAGCATGTGGGACAAGGAGAGTGGGTGCACGTGTGTGCAACAGGCATCCCCAAAATATGATCCCCACTTTGAAAAATGAGATTTCTTTCAAAATCACATCACTTCTTTAGTTTTTCCCACTGCTGAAACAGGTATATCAGGAAAGGGCACTTGAAAACAACAAAAAAAGAGAGTAGTATTCTACATTCAGATAAATTTATATTTCTGCCATAAAACTTTAAAAGCCAACAGGAGGTTTTCAACACAGAGCTTTGTCAAGGATCCCCAAAACACACTGTCACCATTACGCACAGGTTTACAGGACACTGGTCTATTTTACAATCTTGTAATTATTTTCTTTGGACTTTTTTTCCCCCCCTTTCCTTACACGTTCAATTTCCAGGAACAATTTTGCAGAGGAGCACAGAAAAACAAGTCTGTAAGGGACCTGACTCTGAAAGCAGGTGTTTCTTGCCCTCTGGAGAGTATTTGCCAGTCAAACAACAACAACAACAAAAGACTTGCTATTGAAAATCCTCCCACAAACATCTAAATCAAGTGTTTTGAATCTGCCTGGGAGCTAACCTGATTAAGATGCTGCTTGCTTAGTTCCCTCGGATGACAGTGTAGACAGCAATTAAAGGGCTGCAGCCTTGACAGTGCCACGGAAACGAAGGGCTGTGAGTGAAAACACGGCATTAGGTAACGAGCAACCCACGGCAGCATCCAAGAGACCATAAAAAGCTTGAACCAAGGAAGCTGCCCACTCGAAAGAGCCAAAAATACAAACGCTGCTTCCAAATCAAAGCCTGCAATCTCAATTAGCCCGTTTAGTTAAAAGGACGATCAGATTTGTGGTTGGTAGTAACATCATACCCCATGTGTAAGGCCTCATTTTCATCAAACAAGCTCTAGGTTATGGACTATAAACACAAGGTTGCCTACAAGCCATCTGTGCCCCACACCAGTCTGTCCCAGCATGAGGCTGGACACTGGTTCTGGGGTTGGAGGGGGCAGTTGGAGGGGGTCAGGTTGGAAGAGGTGCAGAGGTTCAATTCCTGTAAGACGGAGAGGGGCTGGCCTGGCAAGGGGTGTCCCTCAGCCCGAGTCCATGGTGAAGAGCTGGATGTCACGGGGGTTCCAGTACAGGGCCACGGCAGAGTTGTACACCAGGGACCACACGTAGGGGATGAAGAACTCCTCAGGCTGCTCCTCCTCCACGTACTTGAACTTCAGCTCAGGGAACTTCTGCAACAAGAAGCCAGAGTCCAGTGAGGGAAGGTTTGCATGTCAGCTTGCAAACACACAGCCCACATAAACAGTGAAGAAAGAGGTTTGGTGAAAAAAATAATGGAAGGAACTAAACCATTAGAACCCAAGGAAAATATTTATAGGATAAAGAGATAATTTATAATTTCTTCTTTGAATCGAGTGCTACATTAGCATATTGTATTCAAGCCTTTTACTGTTGGTCACAATCAATTTGTCTGTTAACAGACTAAACACGTGAATCCTTTACAAAACAAAAAGGTCTTAAGGAAAACTCATTTTCAGCAGCCCCCAAAAGCCTTCTTGCTTGTGCATGTACAGACCTATCTATTGCATTTTTCCTTAAAAACGTTTTGCGATTAATTGTACTTGGCTTCTTTGCAGGAGAATCCTCTGAAAAGGCTGAAAGAATAAACACAGTTTGTGATATCATAGGATCACAGAATATCCCAAGTTGGAAAGGAACCCCAAGGATCCTGCAGTCCAGCTCCTGGCCCTGCACAGACACCCCAACAATCCCACCCTGTGCATCCCTGGGAGCAGTATCCAAACTATCCAAACTGTCCAGGAGCTCTGGCAGCCTGAGGAATGTCACCATTCCCTGGGGAGTCTGGGCAGTGCCAGCACCCTCTGGGGGAAGAACCTTGCCCTGATATCCCACCTGAACCTCCCTGGCTCAGCTCCAGCTGTTCTCTGAGTCCTGTCCCTAGTCATCAGACAGAAGAGACAGACATGCTGCAACCTTAAGTTCCCATTTTTCTCATTTTTTCCCTCCCAAAGCAGTGCACACTGCAAACCCACCAGGTTCACTCTTGGTAAGTATGTATTTTGGAAAGAGCTGAGTCTACTTTTGTACTGTGCTCTTCACTTTATCCACTTCTAAATGTTGCCTGTGTCTGAGCTTGGCAGAATCCCAGGCAAAAGCCGCATTACAATGATCACTGGGGTAAGATAAAACATGACCCATTTTATTATTTATAAGGCTGTGGCTAAGACTAAGAATAAACGCTACCGTGTGACATGATCAGAACAAGCAGAGCAATGGCTAAGGAGCCTCTTTGCCCATTAATAATGAAGGGATTCCCTATCCTAGTTCTTGAGCTCAGTGCCCTGTTTCCTTGCCTTAAGGGTACAAGAATTCTGGCTGGATCGGTCTCGTTTGAGGGGCCATTTCTTGGACCCTTGGTTTTCAGGGTTAGGTACTTAACTTCTATGCTCCCATGTTATTTGTATTCTTGGAGTCAGAAAACATGGAAACTTGCAGAAAAGCTGTTGAAATCATGGATGTGGTACCTGGGAACAAGGGTTAGTGGTGGCCTTGGAAGTGCTGGGACAACAGCTGGACTCCAAGATCTTGGAGGCCTTTTCCAACCTAAAGGATGCTGCACTATCTCTGTTCAAGGAAGTGATGCAGCTGAAAGGCAAGGCTGTTAAAGGCTCTTCTGAATCTAGCTCCTGTTGAGTTCAAAGCTCAGAATCAAAAAGGTACATCAGCAAATTTAATTTCCTGTGTCAGACATTCAGTTTGTGGTAGAGAACTCTCCCACAGCCATTTTGTGCATCTAAACCACTTTCTACCACATCTCTACCACCTCTCTTTTCCAAGTCTGTTTTGACCAGCCTGTTTAATCTTCTGCATCACTTTGGTTTTCTCTTTCTTAGGTACCTTACATCCATACTCACCCCCATCTTGCACTTCCAATCTCCCAGTCTAATGCCGTGCCAACTCCCTTCCACTACATCCTTATCCTCTCTCTTTAGCACACTTTCCTCTTTTGTACTCACTCAACCTTTTTCTCATCAGCCTTGTGAGACCCTCCTTTTCATTGACATTCTCTATCCCTTCCCAACTCGGTTTCAAGATCTCAAGCTGTTCCCTCTGTCACCCCCCAACTAAGCCCTCATGTATATTTTCATTAGTATTTATTTTTTTAAAAAAACCTGACATTCTACTGTGCTTATCCTCAGTGTAATCTTCCCCACTTCCTTCCAAAACTTCCTGGCTTGTGGTCAGTGTAGACAGGAGCACGTTCTGTGCAGCACTGCATCAGCAGAACGAATGGTTCAACCTCACGATTACACCATGGCAACACTTCCAGACAGAGGAAAGTCTTACACAGCTGCCACTCTTCACCCCAGGGGTGGCTGCACACCAGGGATGCAGCCCATGGTAGCCTTTCTGGGAGGAAAGTAAGGGGAAAGTGATTAGACATGCTAATTTGAGTTGAATTAAACACAGGCAACTTTTTTTTTTTTTTTTCCCACCTTCAGGTCACAGATGTAGCTACTGGCTTTGCAAACATTAGTGGCAGTAGCCTGGGATCATTCTTGGGTGCTTGAGCAGCTTAACAAACATCTTCAGCCTTAAAATAGTTGGCAAAATTACATCAGAAATTCCAAAAGCTGCATCTGAGATGCTCAGGTCTTACTATCCCATTATCTCTCAGCTGGAAGGGCAGTATAAAACAGCTCAGGTAGCATTCATATTTTCAGGCAATAAGCCATGCATTGATTTTATTATTCAGCCTCTCTTCAGGCTGATCGATGTTGCCATTTATTGTGATCGTACCGTAGCAATTTAATAATCAATTTCAGATTAAAGGCTGTAACTCACTGCAGTCAGCCTGGACTCTCTGACACTCAACATGTGCTTTGAGCAGCCTGTGGGGGTATCTTGGAAATGCAGAAAAGGAGAATGAGATTTTTAAGGAGAGCAGTAATACACCCTGCCACTACATATACACAATTTTGATTGAGTCTATATAAAAAGAATGTAGATAATGGCAGGAGCAATGGATTTTTGATGGTCCACCTGAACAGCAGGCTCAGGACAGCTCAATGCATTGCTGATGAGACATGAAAAATTAGAACTCCAGGCCAGCAATCCAAACCCACATTCTTTACGTGACTGCAATGACCCACAGCTGTGTGCTGGCCATGTTTTCTCATTCATTTAAAATGAGAAATCCTAGAGGCCCAGCATGGAGAGAACTGCACCAGCATCTCTGGGGTGTGGATGTAGCACTTGGGAATATGGTTTATTAGTGAACACTGTGCTGCTGAGTTAATGTTTGAAGTCAATGATCGTAGAGGGCTTTTCCAACCTCAATGATTCTATGATGTAACTTGCAAGATTAACTGTGGCAGCCATTCACTACTGAGATAAAAAACTACCCACACTGTTTCACCAGCAGGGTGTTCACTGAAAACAGAACTTGTTAACAAACAAAATCATCAAAAGTTTCTTCTTTATGAGAGCGACTTTGTAACTATTTGTAACAGCAGGATTTAAACACCATGTAAAAAGCTTGATTGATGCCAAAAAGTTTAAAGGTTTATAAAAAGCTTTCCAAGGTTTTCAGGTGACATCCAAGGAATGTTTACATTCATATTTGTGCCATTTGTCTGCCGTATGTCCTGATTCAAATGAGAGATCCGGATCACCTGTGCGATCCTGGGCCCTGCATGTGCTGCAGACATACAGGTGACACTGTAAAACCAATCAGGCTACATGGGTCTCAGGGCACTGCCAGTAATAATCCAGCCAGCACTGTTTTATCATGGTTAACAAATTCCCCAAAGTGGCACATCAAACCTGCAGTGCACTAATCTATTTTCTTCTGCCTTGCTGCTGTTGTGCCCAGCTTACTCCTGGAAAGACACTGGTACTCTAGCTGGTGACACTCCAATGAACCTCATTTGTAGCACCACTTATAAAGAGAGACCATGCTAATGCATCTTAAATGGCAATCTTAATGACAGAGGAAAAGCTCTGGCATGGGATGAATCATACCTTTTTTTCCTTCACTACCCTGTTTGTTTGGATGGATGGTGTTGAAAGAGGGAGCCCCTGTGCTCTGGAGGCAGCCTGGGAGAGCTGGGGCTGCTCCCCTGCACAAGTATTCAGGCTCCAGCGAGAGCTGAGAGCCCCTGGCAGGGCCTAAAGGGGCTCCAGGAGAGCTGCCCAGGGACTGGGGACAAGGCCTGCAGGGCCAGCACCCAGGCAATGGCTTGCCAGTGCCAGAGGGCAGGCCCAGCTGGGATATTGGCAAGGAATTGCTGGCTGGGAGGGTGGGCAGGCCCTGGCACAGGGTGCCCAGAGCAGCTGGGGCTGCCCCTGCATCCCTGCAGTGGCCAAGGCCAGGCTGGACAGGCCTTGCAGCAGCCTGGGACACTGGAAGGTGTTCCTGTCCATGGCAGGGGGTAGTATGAGATAAGCTTTAAGGTCTCTCCCAGCCCAAACCCTTTTTTGATCAGTATTCACTATTTAAGTTACCAAACTCCTTGCCTTGACATAAACAGGTCCATTGGAGCAATTATTTGCATTTCTTTCCACCCCTTACAGGGACAGACAACCCCCAATAGTTTAAAATAAACCAGCCTGAGAAAGTCCTTGAAAATGCAAGAGACAGAGGTGACATTACGGTTTGAACGGCACAGTTTAAATACAGACACCACTTATCAGCTCCGGTGAATCACCCCACCACATCACCCTATCTTGTTTTCTTCTGCCAGACAAAGCAGAAGTCAGATTTAGTGGTTGGGACGAGGGTACAAACGAGACAGACCGAGAACTTTGCAGACTGTCTGCATTGTCAATCACATGGTTTGATGAAAAACCACAGGAAGTCTGATGAACAGACACATCAGTTACTGAACTGCAGTAACTCCCCCATCGGAGAAGTTCAACAACACTGGGGAGTTGGGTTTTGGTGGGTTTTTTTTGTTTTGCTTTGGTTATTTTTTTTTTTTTTTGGGGGGGGGGGGTGGGTTGTTTTTGCTTTTTTTTTTTTT